TGTGAATAATTTAAATACCTTGGAATTATTTAAACTCAATTAATTAAATCAGATTAGGCACACTAATAATCTCAATTACCTTAATTAATCTCAATTAATTCTTCAGGGTGTTACAGTTACTCCACTAGAAACTTGGAATTGTACTCTTGAAATTATAGACATTAATTACTTATAAACTGTGAAGTGTCCATTTGATAGAGTCACTGCATATAGATCAATCCTCCATAAATAATCCATAATTAGAGCTAGGTAGAATCTGTTAACCTCTCTAATTATATCTTCATTCTTGAGTACCATTGATTCTCTAGTGGATTTCATGTCGTATAATAACATTCCCGGCTACATACTTCATCATGTCTCCAAAATATATGGAATAGGATTCAGGATCTCGGAATCCGTACTGAGTAAATCAAAAGACACAAATCCATAAATAGGAGTTTGTTAAGAACTCATGATTAAGATCATTCTATATATGAACATCTGTACACTCAATTAGAATTTCTATACTTAACGGAAATTATTAGAAATTCATATTGTGTCTGTGTCCTTGTTCCACATAATCTCATTATGCGTAATACACTCATTCAATATCTCACCATATTAACAGTGCGGATAACACCGTTCCATTCTAAATGGGAATGACATGTATTAGTAATGTTCTAATTAAATATTCTGAACTTTAATTAAATTTATTACAAACATCATTTTTTGATTATTATCCTTAAACATTATCCTCTCGCATACAACACTTATATACAATGTTTAAGGTCACATAAATAATCACAAAATTTTCATTTGATATTCATAAAATATTCACAAATATATGCACATAAAATGATGAATAAACTCTTTTATTAAATAAATAATAAATATCCTATTATATCTCATGCTTTTAGGACACCATTCTCAATAATCTCCCACTTGTCCTAAAGCAGGTGTGTCATGTCTTGAATTCCAAATCCTTCTAAGTGCCGATCAAATACATTCAATGGCAATGTCTTCGTGAACAGGTCAGTAAGGTTGTTCTACGATGCGATCTTCAAAACCGCTACATCGCCTCTATCCACAATGTCTCTGATCAGGTGATATTTCCTTTCTATATGTTTTGCACTCTTGTGGCTTCTAGGTTCTTTTGAATTAGCCACCGCTCCACTATTGTCACAGTAAAGCTTAATTGGCTTATCCATATCTGGTACAACTTTCAGATCAGTTAAGAACTTTCAGAGCCATGTAGCTTCCTTTGTAGCTTCACAAGCTACAACATATTCAGCTTCGATGGTAAAGTCAGCAACACACTTTTGCTTTACACTTCTCCATACCATGGCTCTTCGATTAAGAGTGAACACAAATCCAGATGTCGACCGTCGACTATCTCTTTCCGATTGGAAATCATAATCTGTGTATCCAGTGAGAGACAGATCTTCTCTGAAATATACTAACATATAGTTTCTCATTCTCCTAAGATACTTGAGAATACACTTCACTGCAACCCAATGATCTAATCACGAGTTGGACTGGTAGCGACTGACTACTCCCACTGCATAGCATATATCTGGTCTTATACACAATATGGCCTACATGAGGCTTCCCACAGCCGATGCATAGGGATATCGTCTCATATCTTCTTTTTGCTGTGGAGTCTTTAGACATTGCTCCTTAGAAAGATGAATATCATGCCTAGAAGGCAAATTCTTTTTCTTGGAGTTCTGCATCGAAAACCTAGACAATACTTTGTCTATATAAGATGCTTGTGATAATGCCAACAGCTTGTTCTTACGATCTCGAATAATCTTAATCCCAAGAGCATAGCTTGCCTCTCCTAAATCTTTCATTTAGAATTGGTTGGCTAACCACTCATTTACATCTTTCATCAATCCCACATCATTCCCATTGAGAAAATGTCATCGACGTAAAGAACTAAGAAGACTACTTTCTCTTCTTTCTTGTACTTGTAGACACATGGTTCATCAATGTTTTGATCAAATTCATAAGACTTTATAGCCTCATCAAACCTGATGTTCCATGATCTAGAAGCCTGCTTCAATCCATAAATGGATCTCTGTAGCTTGCAGACTTTCTGCTCTTGGCCTTCCTCTATATAACCCTCTGGCTGATCCATATAGGTGGTTTCCTCAAGATAGCCATTCATAATAGTTATCTTAGCATCCATCTGCCATATCTCATAGTCAAAATATGTTGCAATGGCCAGGAGTATACGGATGGACTTAAGCATAGCTACCGGTGAGAAAGTTTCTTCATAGTCAACTCCCTCATTTTGGGTATAACCCTTAGCCACTAGCCTTACTTTATAAGCCACTACTTTTCCATCCACTTGCATCTAATGGGTTTTACCCCTTCGGGTAAATCTATAAGTTGCCAGACTGAGTTAGAGTACATAGATTCTATCTCGAGTTTCATAGCTACTTACCATTCTTCTTTATCAGAATCATCCATCGCATCCTTAAAGGTCGATAGATCCTCCTTACCGTCATCAGCAATGACGATCTGGGCTTTCCCGGTATACCGGCCGGGTAACGAAGTGCCATATGAGTCTGATCAGGAACTGTGGTCTTTTCTCTTGGTGGTCCGACAACTCTTGTCGGCTGTGGTCCAATCTCATCAGAAAGTAACTCTTCCATAACTACTTTGCGCTTAAAATCTATCATATAGTCATGCTCCAGAAACGTGACATTTGTCGCAAACACTTTTTGATATGCCTGACTATAAAAGAGTACTCCTCTTGTCCTTTGTAGGTATCCTACGAAGATGCATACTTCTGACCTTGGTTCTGACTTCGCAGTCTCTTGCCTCAGCACGTGTGCTGGACACCCCCATAT